TGTCCCCAAAGTGTCCCCAAAGTGTCCCCTGACTGTCCTCTGAGTGTCCCATGAGTGTCCCCCAAGTGCCACCTGTCCCCTCAATGTCCCAGCAGTGTCTCCCCAGTGTCCACTCAGTGTCCCCCTGAATGTCCCCTGTCCTGACCCCAAATGTCCCCTAAGTGTCTCCCCTGTGTCCCCAAGTGCCACCTGAGTGTCCCCTCACTGTCCCAAGTGTCCCCTGAATGTCCCGTAAGTGTCCCCTAAATGCACCTCAGATGTCCCACGAGTGTCTCCCCTGAGTGTCCCCCCAAGTGCCACCTGAGTGTCCCATAAGGGTGCCCCAAATGTCCCGTGTCTCCCAAGTGTCCCTCAAGTGCCACCTGTCCCCTGAATGTCCCATCAGTGTCCCCCAAGTGTCCCCCAAAAGTCCCACGAGTGTCTCCCGAGTGTCCCCCAAGTGCCACCTGAGTGTCCCAAGAATGTCCCCCGACTGTCCTGACTGTCCCATTTCCCCCCCCAAGTGTCCTATGAATGTCCCCTGAGTGTCCCCAAGTGTCCCAAGTGTCCCCCAATATCCCCCCCGTGTTCCCTTAGTGCCCCCCAACTGCCCTATGAATGTCCCGTGTCCCAGCTGCCCCATCAGTGTCCCCCCAGTGTCCCCCCAGTGTCCCACGAGTGTTGTCCCTCAGTGTCCCCCCAAATGCCACCTGGCCAGGGGGGATCCTTGGTGCTTCCAGGGGGGGCTGGTGTGACACAGCCCGGCCTGGAGGGGCCTGCCCAGCATGGTGGGACATGTCGTGACAGGGTGTGACAGGGTGGCCAAGAAGGGCTGGCTCAGGGGGTCTCTGGGCACCCCAACCCCCCAGTTCTGGGGGGGCAGATCCCCCCTTTCCCAGCTCCGGGGGAATCCCCAGGGCAGGACAAGGTGACAGGGACAGGAAGGGGGTGACAACATCCCCAAAACCCTCACCAAGCCCAGGAGGGACAAGCCAAGGAGCGGGAGGGTCTGGCCAGGGGGTGGCACTGGGATGTGCCCACTGGGATGTGCCCACTGGGATGTGGCCACTGGGATGTGCCCACTGGGATGTCCCCAGGGCGGTGACACCTCCCAGGGATGAGCAGGAGCTGCAGGAGCCTCCTGGGATCTGTGTCCTGCCCAGGGGCAACCAGGGAAGCAGGGGAGGGTCTGGGTGGGAAGGGACCTTTGGAGCTCGTCCAGTCCAACCCCAGCATAAGCAGGGACATCATCATCATCATCATCATCATCATGAGACCCATCCAGCCTGACCTGGAATGTTTCCAGGGATGGAGCATCTCCCACATCTGGGGGCAACCTGAGCATCCCTCCCTCCCTCCATCCTTCCAGCCATGGACTCACAGACTGGTTTGGGTGGGAAGGGACCTCAAATCCCACCCAGTCCCACCTGCATGGGCAGGGACCCCTCCCAGCAGCCCAGGCTGCTCCAAGCCCCATCCAACCTGCCCTTCAACACCCCCAGGGATGGGGCAGCCACAGCTTCCCTGGGCAACCTGGGCCAGGCTCTCCCCACCCTCCCAGCCCAGAATTTCTCCCTCCCATCTCAGCTCCATCTCACGTTGAGCTTCTCACCACCCAACACTCCCAAGCCCTCAAGGGCTCTTCTCAACCCATTCTCCTGGATCCCTCCTTGGGGTTGCCCTGCTCCATCAGCAGGACCTTGCCCTTGGTCTGGTTGAACTTCAGGAGGTTCCCACAGCCCCACCTTGGCCACCCCCAAGGCAGTTTCTCTGCACACCAGTTTATTGCAATAAATAAAGAGAAGTGGGAAGAAGGTGTCCCGAGTGGCTTTTATCTCCAACCTGTCACCTGCCTGGCTCCTGTCCTGCCCCTTCCCCACCCAACAGGTCCCCTCAGGGAGTGACAAACCCCACCCAAGCAGGACAGTCCCACGTTTCCTTCCTCCTCCCTTCAAAAAGCTCCAACACTTTGTGCCAAACGAAGCCCCAGGACCCTCCACCTCTGTGTCCCCCCCACCACCACCCCCCTGTGCCCACCTGGGAGCTGCTCCCAAGCTCCTGCCTGTCCCTGCTCAGCTCCAGGATGGCTTTGTTCCCATCCCACCCCCTCCCCGAGGTGGGACATGTCAAGTCCTGGGGTGTTTCACTGTCACCCCGCAGCGTCACCAGCGCAGAGGGATCTCCAGGAAGGTTGGGAGATGCCTACAAGAAGTAGGCAATGTTCTCTGGGTTCAGGGGGGCCTGGATGTCCAGCTTCCGGGCCTTGCTGTCCTTCTCCACGATCTCCAACCTCAGAGTTGGGCTTTTGGCTTCTCCTGAGCTCTCCTGGGGCTTCAGCAGCTGCTTGTCCCTGT